AAATCCAATGAATGTTGTGCTAGGAACAGGCTGTTTTTCGGGCCGTAGGAGTAGGTTGATGCTGACTCAGAACAAATCCGGTACTATATCAACAATCATTGAGAGGTTTACGATCCTCTTTGGGACCGGTAACGAACGGCCTCCGTCATTGATGGTAGGAGACAGGAAGATGTCGGTAGGTTGGTGGAGCGAGGATATAGTTGAGGAGGAAGACGAGGTAAAAAAGCACCCTGAGGACGACCGCGTGGCTGCGGCCGAAACCGGTCGGGGTAGCCAAACCCACCGCGTTGCTTTGCTTTTCAGTTGTTGTTGATACACACGCGTTTTAATCGCGGTGTTTTTACGTACTTTGACTACATGGCTTGGCATGGCTTGTGTGGACTGAGTACCTGTGCATGACAGATTGAGATTGCCCACACGTTCAGCACATAGAACAATTAACAAACCTAATAATTAAAAATAATACAAACTATAAACTAAGATAATAAAAAAAAACATGAAGATAAAAATAAAAATAAAAGTAAATAAAATACGTTTTATGTAATTTAAAGCAGGGTTTCCAGGCCGAACGTATGGAGCACCCTAGGCTGACCCCCGAACGTTTGGGCGCTCGGGTCCCTGTACGGGGTCCGAACTTGCAGGGGATCGGACCCCGCAAAAAAAATATTTTAGCACCTAAATATTAATGTTTTTTTTTAAATGGACAATGCAGTGCTAGTGAAATCTCAACAAGCAGTGTACATCCTGATACATACAAAGATGATGTTTTATAGCGCAGGGGAAAATTTAGATACAAGTCCTGACCTCACCGGGACTGGCCTCTTTCACGTAGTACAAGCGCAGCAAAATGCTAGAATACCAATGGCCCAATCAATGTTGCAACGCAAACCAAACATACATCATCCTCATCACAAGGTGTGAAGAGGTCTGGCGCTACACATAGGAAGAATGCGCCAGGTCCAGATCATGCACAAACGAAGAGGAGAGGAACAAACAAAGAAGGGGAGAGATGGGAATGTCGTCAACACCAAGTCTTTGTTACAAATCCCAAATAATCCCTCGTCAAAATGTCTGAAGCCCAATGTCGAGTCTGGATCCGAATGTCACCAAGCCCACTGTCTCATAGTTTGTCGATGCAGTGAAGTCAGGTAGCGAGAGGGTGAGAAGGAGATGGTGGACTGAGAAGAGGAAGAAGAAGAACTCTCTCTCTCCCATATGCCAGGTACTAACATGTGAAGATGGCGCTGTGCTGCTGGTACCTCGAAGGCGAAGCTGGAGCTATGGCGCTGCAGGTAAGTATCCCTGGCCTCCGCCCAATCTCTCTCTCTCTAGTACTACTCTAGTTCCTATGGCGCCCAACGTTGAAGACTAGTAGCTAACGCTACTAGCACCCAGCGCTGAGGACGACTGCTAGCGTTACAACTACTCCTGCAGCGCTCCTCCAGATTGCTGCTGCCGAATCCTGAAGACTACCTCCTACCTCCTAAACTGCACGTGAAGTGCCTGGGAAGTACCTAGGAACTACCTACCGGCCTGCAGGGTGGGCCAGTCCTATATAGTGCTGGCCCGTCCAGGAGGTTGCTCTTGCCAATGCGGAAACGTGCCAGACCCTGGCGTTGAAGCTCAACCAGGGGTTGTCTTGAAAACAGGCCCGAAATGGCCTGTGCTAAAACCCTGGTTTGTTGCCTGAGTTTCAGGGCGGGTCGAGCTGATGAGGGCCTGGAAATGGTCCTCAGTTTTAGGCTGAAAACACTCAGGGCCGAAAAGACCCTGATTTAGCCTGAAGCGACACAAGGCCTGTAGGCCCTTCTTTTCAGGCTTTCAGGCTGAAACGACACGGGGCCTGTAGGCCCTTGTTTTCAGGCTTTTGGCCTGAAAACATCACGGGCCTGAAAGCGGACCCGTGCAACCTGTTGCAGGCGCAGCATGTAACACCCCCCCCTCCTTATGAAGTCAAGCCGGGTCGAGGGCGAAGCTGACGACCTAAAGGTGGAACCTGGATGCGGGTGCGACGTGGAGCCGAAGATACCGGCTTGCCTTACATCTTGCGTTCGTAGTGTGCGAGAACATCGGGAGCTGTTGATTGGAGTTCCGCACGGGTCAACCAACGTTCAACTTTGTGAGTGCAGTATGCAAAATGTACCAAGTACTCGGTTGGCCTGTTGTCGTAGCGTCGCTGGGAGATGATGTCGCCGACCTCTTGAAAAACGTCCATCGAGGGTGGGTTTTGCGATTGTCGCCCGAGAAAATCATCATGTTCTGTTGGCGTGTAAAGAGCCAACTTGGAGCAATGAAAGACTGGGTAGACGGGCAAGTGGGTGGGCACTTGAATGGTGAAGGAAGGTCCTTCGAGTGCATCCCCAGCGGGTGCCACGATCGGCCAAGGCCCCATCCATTTCGGGAGGAGCTTGCGAGAGATATCCGCGGCAGAAACCCAAACGAGATCGTCGGTGCGAAATGGGCAAGGAAGACGCTAGTGATTGGCCTATTGGCTCATGCGTTGCTGCATCTTGGCCATCTGGTCGCGTGCCTTGACAAGTAGCTCTTGCATCCGACTCAAGAAAAGAAGATGGTCGTCGCTCTCGGTTGTTCGTGGAATGATTGTGTCCAATGGAGAAGAGACCGACGAGCCGTGCTCGAACTCGAAGGGCGACCCGATAACCGGGTGGATGGACGAGTTGTATGCCAACTCGACATCCGGCAGCCGCTCAATCCAGTCCTTTTGGTCGGGGCGGATGAGAATCTGAGAAGAGTTGTTGACGTCACATTTTACACTATCGGATTGGGGTTGGAGCCTCGATTTAAGGGGGCTTACTTCGCCATTTGTGCGAGGTGGGGGCGTTGTGATTATGAGACGATTAGAGGACTGATCGACGCGACCTGTTGGGTTGATTGTCTAAGGCCAACCGATCTGATTGCGTAATGTCGTAGATGTGTCGAAGACAAGTACGCTGGGCTAGAGGAGTTGAGGTATCTGTACGAGAGCAGTTAGTGCAGGTATGCCGGATCGGACGTCCGTAGGGGTTAACGTGAGTAGATAGTTAGTGAGTGAGGGCTTTACAGTGACAATTTTACTCAGAGCATACTTAGAAGAAGATCTGACGGAATGAAAATGCCTACAACGGGCTAGGGAGTTCATTCGCGAGCACCGAAAAGGGGTCCTTACGTGCGTGACCTTTCAGACGAAGGTGACGTGTGAGGTAATGGTATGGTCGGCAGGCTACTTGCGAGCTGAGTTGTTTTTTAATGAGACGGTAGCGGAAGCGAGAGCAGAGTATGAGTAGCTACTCTGGGCTGGCATGACGCAAAATGAGTCGGTACTGTACAGATACAGATGACGAGCGTCGTATTCTCTGCGGTGAGATCACCGAGGCTCCGATTCATGGAGGAGTGTTGACGATATGAATCCCCGCGTGATCGCACAAGAAGTAGTGTAAGGCGTCAGCTTCCCGTGGATGAGCGACGACGATTGTCGTATGCGCGCACGGTCTCGAAACGTTTAGCACGCGATGAGGTGACACTGCAAGTTCTTTTGAGGGTAAGCATACATGACGACCTATCGGATAGTGAGTGCGGGAGCTTGCGGAGGACGTCATACGGGAGCAGAGGTTAGGAGCGCTAAGGGAAATTACGAACCAGAGGTGGATGATCTATGAAGTAGTTATCTGTGTGAGAGGAGTTATACGGGTGGAGATCGTGCAGGACGAGACGCCAATGAAAGCACGAGCTAGGATGTGAGGAGTTGTGTATCCATTCAACTCGCAACGGGTTTTGTACAACTCCATTGTACCCGTTGTACACCCCCCGAGGTCCAAGTTGAATCCCCGTTGAACGGTACAACGGGGGCTTCCCGTTGAAATCCGATCAACGGGTCGAGCCCAATGGGCCTCGGACACGTGGCAGGATACACGTGGGAAAAAAAAAGTGAAAAAAAAAGTAAAAAAACTGCCCTCTGTGTGTGTGTGTGTGTGCGTGTGTGTGTGTGTGTGTGTGTGTGTTTATGTGTGTGTGTNAAGGTGCCGAATCGGTTGCCGATGGTGATGAAACCGTGCATGCAGTGGATTGTTGCACGTGGAGCGGTTGGTCCAGCGGTGGAACCAAGTGGACATCATAATCCTCATAAGTATACCGAGGACTAGCGACATTTGCATGCTCCCCATATGTGCAGGAGGCCGCTAGCAAGGCTGCCGAATCTGGCAGAGTAGAAGGTGGAGTCGCCTCACCTTCCACGGAGCTCAGTTTCCCGAGCTGAGGCGGGGTCGCACATCCTCCTTGCCCTGATCTTGGCATAGGGAGATCTTGTGCTTGGTGCTGTTGCACCTGTAGCAGCTGCCGTAGCGGCCGCGGACCTTGTACTTCGCCTCCGTCAAGCCAAACTTGACCCATGGAACTTGTATTGGCTGTCCATTTCCGGACTGCGATGCGGATTTTGCCTTCCCATTGTTGCGGGACTTGTTGTTGCTTCGCGGCTGGACAACAGCTACCTGATCTCCGTCACTTGATGCTGGAGTGGCTGCTGGGTTATCTCCACTGTCCTGCTGGACTGCAGCGAAGTGCTGCTGTCGCGGACCAGTTTGTACCTTCTCCACATAGGTCGGCTGCCATGGTGACTTCTCGTGTGCAGCTAACCTGTTGGTCTTGATGATCTCTCTCGCCTTGTCGATAATCTCGGCGAAAGTGGAGTACTGCTCACGATCACCAAGAGCCTGGCTCAATGCAGCACAGGACCTGTTGTAGAACTCACGTCTGAGATGAGTGAAAGGCAGATCCAGATTGGGCATTGCCGCAATCTTCTGCCACTCTGTGAGCCAATCCCGTGTTGTAGTGTTGCCTTGTGACATGGTGAACAGACGGTTGATGGCGAGTGTCGGCGCGTCGTCGACGATGAACCGCTTCTTCCACAACCGTGTCAGTTCCTCCCATGTGATTTTTTCCTTCAAGTCTAGTACGTTGACACCGTGGGAGGTTGCCAGGTGGCTCAACCAGGTCTGGCATCCACCCTTTGAGTTCAGGAACAGGGCACCGATATACGCATGCTTGGCTACGGGCAGAATCCTGAGTTGCGTTGTGAATGCTTCCCACCAGAGGACCGGATCCTGCTGCGTGTAGTCGTCGAAACTCTCCTGATTGAAATTTGGCATCTTATACATCTTCGGGTTGCCATCCGCGTTCGTCGTCTGCAGCTACTGGACCTCGGTCTTCAATGTATGCAGCTGACTGYTGATGGTGGTGGTCGGCGCAACGAAAGTGCTAATGTGGCCGAGCATTGCCACTACGTGGCCAACGCGGTCCTCCAGTTGGAGGCTAGAGGGTGCACTGCTGGAAGCCCCAGCAGCTGGTCTTGGTACAGCCTGTTCCAGGTCCAGCAATCGGGCATTGAGTGCCCGAGTTGCATCCTC